TATAATTACCTTTCAGGAACTCGATGTGGAGGAAATATCAGAAAATTCATCACTTTCCTGATCCCTAATCAGCTTCAGTAATTGGTTTAATCTTTTCTCTGCTACCTCATGGCCATTATCAACTGACTTTTGATACCAGTAAATTGCTTTGTCTATATCCTTTTTCGTTCCTTTGCCCTCCTCAAAACAAGATGCCAAATTATGTTGTGCTGGTGGATTTCCTCCTTCAGCAGCTTGTTCAAACAGCGTGAATGCCTTATTAATATCTTTCTTCGTACCTATTCCCATCTCATAACAATAACCGAGCTCATTTTTACCGCTAACATTACCACCACTTGCTGACTTCTTATAGTATTGGAATGCTTTGTGACGGTCTTTGGGAGTTCCTTCGCCGATTACATAACATATACCAAGACTGAATTGTGATCCTGTGCTTCCATTATTCGCTGCCTTGTGGTACCATTCGAACGCCATTTTACGATCCCGTGTTGTACCTTGGCCCGAATAATAACAGTCTCCCAGCAAATCCTGAGCTATATAGTAGTCTCTTTTCGCGGCAGAAAGATACAGGCAATATGCCTTACGCTGATTTCTAGCGTTTGCTATACCTTGATCGTAAAAGTAACCCAAAAGAGTTGTGTACTTATTTTTGTGCGTATTGTTTTGTAACCAATCGAAAATTTGTGAAGGGTCTTGATCTTGTAAAGTAAAATAATTAAACATGAGTTCAACAGTTTGTGCTTCATTCATCCCGCTTTGCCTGGCATCAACGAATATGTCACATAATCCATCGACCAAGAAACGAAGTGCATCATTCAATTCGTAATCTATTTGAGATGATCGTGAATTATGACTAGTAGTTGAGGAAATGGAGCTTCTATAAATTGTTTTTAAGGATTTTGTAGAACTTGTGGAAGTCTTTGGTATACTTGAGGTAGATGAGGCTACTAAAGATTTTGAATTATGCCGAGAAGTTTTTGTTTTTGAAAATTCTGAACGAGACATTTTTAAAGTATATTCTAGGATTAAGAAGAGAAAAAATTTTTCTGATTAAGTTGCGTTTGTAAGTTTGACAAAATTTAAGAATTATGTGATATGATTTGATTGAATGTGTAACGACCTTTTTATGTGGAGTGAAAACCTATTTTGAAAGTCTGTCAGGATTATAATATAAAGCATCTAAGAAGAGAATTTGGGCTCGATTTTCATCTACAAACGTTGAGACCGAACGACCACATGGTTCCACCGAAGACTTTTTAAGAGCGATTTCCAATGAAATGTCTCACAATACAGATGACAAAAAATTCTGTTAGCACGATTCGTATCCAGGAAATTGCGCACGTATTAGCTGAAAACCATCTTTTCTTTCCTTCTTTTTTTCCTAGAATCCTTGTTTGAGACAAGCGCATAATCACTGCATTTGATATGCATATATGAATTACATGTTTAGAATCGTTAAAAAATATTTATCCCTTGATTTATTAATTAGGCAGTTTTACCACGTGACAAGTACAATATTTATGGTTTCACTATTATAAAACCTCATACGTAATAATAATTTCTGTTTATCATTGTGTTGGTTACGTGTGAAATCTGCAAAGATGGTGTGAAT